TTAAATAGGGAGTTTTTTGAGAGGTGGTCACAGGGAGTGGGGAGGGGAGACCAGGAGGGAAGGAGCCCCACAATCATGTTGTCAGGACAGTTAGTAATGGGGGTTGTTGGAGCTTAAACTCACTGAGAAAACTCTGGGAAACAAAGGAGAACCTGCGCTTCAGAGGCATCCAGGGCAGCGAGGGAGCTGAGGTATTCACACCCTGGGTTCCATAATCCATCTCTCTGCAGGAGGGTGACTCCTCAGTTCTCCCACCTGCTTTATGGACCCCAAACCAACTCAGGACATTGACCGCACATCCTAGAGGGCAGGCGCTGGCTCCAGGGGTCAGGTCGGGGTGCAGGGAAGGGGTCAGAGTGAGGACCAAGAGTAGGGCACCCACCATGAATAAAATGGGGGTCATTCCCAAGATCAGAGTGAGGATAAGTGAGACGATGATCTGTCAAGTGTTAGCGAGATGCTTGACAAGGAAGGAGAAGTCAGCACATGTAAGCTCGTCCTCATTTTGTGAGTTTGGGGCAGGTCAGGTGGGGGATATTCCCTGAACTGGAAAGTGGAGGGAGGAGAGGGACCAGGGGTTCAATCTCCAAGGCTCTCCTTGCTGGGTCCCTGGGGGTCAGCTGTGTCTGCTCCTGATGTTCTCTTGGGGTTTTAGTAGCCCTGCCCTCCACCCCCCAGTGCTGGACTCTGTGCCATCTTGCAATTTCTGCGACAATACTTTGTAGAGTCTCCTTGCATTAAAAAGTCTCCTGGACTGTCTCCTGCAGGGCCCTGACTGACCACTGGCTCACCTGTGTCAGTGGTGACTGCCTGTCATTCTCGATGGCCACCCAGCATCCTGTCTGTGTTCAGGGCGTCTCCCTCCTTTTGTGCTAAGAAGGGAGGAGGTAGGGACCAGGAGAGAAGTACCAGTTTCAGGTAGTCAGCATCCCAGCCCTCTACGGCTGCGCTGTGGGCACATGGGCTGGCCTCTACCGGCCAGACACGCCCACCCTGGACTTCAAGCTGGGAGCTTGTGGCCCCAAGAAGCAGGGGCCATGGCTGGTTCTCTTTGGAGGGGTGGCTGGGGAGGAGTGGGCACTGGGGAGCTCTGCCTGGATCCTCCTTCATTAACAACTCACCTCCCTGGGCGCTGAGAGGCTGTCCAGCGACGTACTCTCTTTGGGGATAACCAGGCAGGATGCATTTGGCCCAAGGGCTTGTTCTGTCTATGCGTGGCACCCGCGTCCAACGACCCAGGCCACAGGGGTGCGATCCCAGCCCCTCACCCCAACTTGACGCAGCTCTGAAAGTGCAGGCCAGCTCCCAGCTCTCCACGAGGATGATGGAGTCCTTGGCTGGGACCGCCTCACAGCTCAGCATCCCCCTCCGCTCATTTCTCTTTTCTTCTCCTCCCTCTCAAGGCCACTCCCTGATGACTGGCCCTCATGCTGACCCCATCTCAGCGTCTGCTCCCCGGGTTGCCCAGCCTCGGCAGGGGGGCAGGGGGCAGGCAGCATCTGCTGCAGCCCCCAGGATGGGCAGGGCTCAGCACACAGGCGCCGTGTGGGTGTCACCAGTTCTGTGCCCACAGCTTCTGGGTCGGATTCTCCAGCCCCCCTAGTTAGCAGTGATCAGCCACAGCAGGATCTTCCAATAAATTCCTCTTCTCTTTTATCAGCTGGAGATGGTTTCTGTTGCTTTCAACTCGTAACTCTGACTGCCCGTTGATGCCCAACAGTTAAGTTCTCAGTTGCTAAGAGATCTGTGGTGGGACCTCACAGATGCCCATAAATGGGTTTTGGGGAAGCGGATGATTCTCCCCGGGCAGAGCCTGGATCCATGTGTGTGACGTTATGTTTATGCAAATTACGTACATCATTTCTGGAAGCGCGCTTCTGGTCTGATTCTCCGGGGGCTTGCTGGTTACCATCAGATGTCTGCACCAATGCCCCGCTGTCCCTCCCCTGGCCTAGGCGGGTGCTCTGATCCACTCAGGAGGCTGGTTCTGTGCCTTAGACTCGATGCATGGGCAGAGTCCAGCCTCTTGAGTTTCTTGCACACTTGCTGTCTCATGAGGCAGCTCCTGGGTAGTAGGATGAGAGCCCAGGCTCCTTCCGCCTTGTGGCTCTGCCCTTCCCGGGGTGCTGGAGGCCTCTGTGCCCAGCATCCAGCAAGCAAAGAGAGCAAGGCGGGACCACACATACTTCTTCATCAATGGGTCCCCCCCATCCCTTACTGCCCACCGCGTCCCACTCTCCCCCTTACTTGCCCGGTGGGCCGGGAAGCACAGGTCTGGGCTGGACAGCCGCCCCCCAGCGGCAGCTCTAACAGGGCAGGAGCTGGTGGACAGTGAGCTTTGCGGGCCACCCCCGGGGCCATGGTAACGGAGGGAAAGGGCCCTGGTTCCACACGGTCCCCTGCGTGGAGTGGCTTCAGTGTCCACTGGGGCTCAGTGCAGACCTGCTGACTGAATAGATGAAGGAGTGAAGGAAGGAATGAGAAAAGCCACCAGACTGTCAAGCCCAGGGACCATGTCCAGGCGGTTCTGGCTCCTTGGAAAGCGTTCTCAGAACGGTTCTCCGGTCGAAAAGGGAAGAAGAGTTGGCTGGACGAGGATGCCATTTTTCTCCGAGACAGTGGAAGGAAGCATTTGGATTCTTGTCCAGGATGTCCGGAGCCGGGCGGATGGATGCCTCGCCCCAGCCAGGCTCCTTCCCCCAGGCCTAGTGTTTACTCGGAAGGGGTCTGTTCCTGCTGCAGGACAGGTGTTCCGCGCGCTGACGACGGGATGTGCCTGGAGACCCAGCTCTCTTGCACTCACTCGGCTGCCTGGAAATTGATGGCCTTTCTTGTTTCTCTGGTGGGAACTAGGAGTTTCCCAGCAAAAGGTAACCCGGGCTGTGGACTATTATTTCCTGAGAAGCCCTGGATTTTCCCCCATATTAGTCATCGGAGAATGTATATTATTTTAGCTCTCGGACTCAGACTTGAGTTTTCAAGCACTGGAGGCAGGGTGGAAAATTGCCGGCGGGGCTGGCGGTGATGACTTAGGAGGGGGCAGCTCTCCTTTGCTCTTCTGGAGGTGACGTGATGCTCCCCAAGGGCGCGGACAAGGCTTCTTCAGGCCTGGGACTGGGTGAACTTTCGGAAGTGATGTCCACCTACTGGGTCTCCCGGGGGCAGATGGGGGTGGGGTAGAGGGAGGTGGTGCCCAGAAGGGTGAGCGGGCTTAGGTAATGATCACCTACTTCATGCCAGGCACCCTGGGGTGGGGGCAGGTAGGCCACTTGGCTGCAGATGGCAGAGGACTCAGAAATGTCCACGCTCAGAGGCACTGTCAACACACTCCTTGTTGAGGGGGAGGGTCCTCCAGGAAGTGGGGAGCTCTCTGGATAAGAGCAAGGTCCCGGGATCAGTAAAAGCAAGGCCCCAGAGGACAGGAAGGACAAGTGTCCTCATGGAGCTGAAACCACCCCTCCTTGTCCCCGGCCTCCGGCCACAGCCCTCTGAGTCTGGTGGAGATGCTGGCTGCCTCGGTGGGAGGCCCCGGGCAGCCTCTCCGCAGCACTGCTGCAGGCTGGGAAAGGCAGTGAACTTGAGGGTCCCCCCTTATCTACAGGGGAACACCAGGAAGAATCGAGGGAAGGCAGAAAGCAGCAGAAGGGGCCTGGGGCTGTCAGAGGTGACCACACTGCCTCTGGATGGTGACCAGCTGTGGGGACTGGACAAGTGCAGCCCTGCCAGGACTCTCATGCTAGCTGGGCCCCCCTATTCCGCCCAGCCCGCAGCCCACTGGTGGGGCCCTGATGAGGCTCTGAGCGCCTGCCCCGTGGTGCCAGGAAAGATCCTGTGGGTAGTTGGCAGGTGAAGCTGACCAGGCATTTGAGTGAGGGGGTTGCAGCCAGAGCACATGGGTTCATGTCCCAAGCTGTCCGTTCCTAGCTGTGTGGCCTTAAACCAGTCCCTATGAGCCTCAGTGTCCCCATGTATAGCACAGGGAAGAAGCAGTGTCTCCTTGACAGGGTTTAGAGGGTTGCACAGGAGACGTGTAAATGCCAAGCACCTCTGAGCAATGGTTTTAAGCTTTGATGAACTGATATTTTGGGGTCCCCCTTCTGTGTGAAATGCCTCTCCTCTTTTTCTCTTCATGGCCCTTCTTCTCTTCTTGCTTCTCCTTCCCTCTTTCTCCACTTCTGTCCCCTCTTCCTGAACTCAGGAGCCTGCTCCATTTAAGCTTCCTCTCTCGCAGAAGTTAGGGACAGCATAAGTGTTCCTACCATCTGCTCAGAGCAGGGGAAGAGCCGGGAGGAGGGGCTCTGCTGACCTCCAGGGCCAGGTATGCCCTTCATGTTTGTTTCCTGAACTGCTATTCAATTCTAAAGGCCCAGATCAAAGTCCCCTCCTCCAGGAAGTCCTCCCTAACTTCCTCGAGCAGCCAGTGGCTGCCTCTCCTGCTCCCCTACCACCCTGGACATCAGTGTGAAATGCTGACCCACTTAGGCTCCAGTCTTCTCTTCCCATGTCTGAGTCGGGGCGGGGGGCGATTCTCAGGATGCTACCTGGTTAAAACCTGGCTGGAGGTGGGGTCACAAACTCCAGCTGTCTGCAGTCTGGGTGCACAGAACAACAGAGTCTAGATTAAAATAGCTGCTTAAATATTGAGGGGGACCAAAGATGAATGAATCATGGAAACAGCCTGCATGATGGCTTGGGTCTCTTGTCCCAGCCCAGGGTCAGACCATACCTTCCCTGAGAGCAGCCGCTTCCAGTGCCAGCATCTTCCTCACCCCTTGTCTCCCCTGCCTTATTTCCCTTGTCACTCTGCTCCTTTTTAACCCCGGGAAAGGTCTTCAGATACAATTTGTTATTGGTTGAGTACATGTGATCTGCAGGCTATGTGGTATACAGCTTGCAACCCAGCTCCACCCCAGGATTGCCTGTGCCCCACCCCCCGCCCCCATCTCTGCAGGAGGCACTGTCTGGCTGCAGAAAGTGATCCAGAAAAAGGAATCCTAGCTTTTAGCTCAGGGGTCAGCTGACTATTTCTGTAAAGGGACAGTTAGGACATTTTCAGGGATGTCTGTCACAAACCTGCTATCATAGTTCCAAGGCAGCAGAGACGACTCCCAAGTGAGTGGGCATGGCTGGGCTCCACTTAAGACTTCATTTACCAATGTCGATGGTGGTCTGCTGGCTCCTGCTTTATGTGCGTCTTTTTAAGGCCATCCCTGGATGCCAGTTCATCACCCACAGCAGCACATCTCATGAAGTACTTCTCCAGTCTCTAACTCTCTTTGGACTTTCTCGTAGGGGAGACCCCACGTCCTCCACCAGCCTGTGGTTTCCCATGCCCCGTCCGCCTCTTGCTCAGTCAGGCTGTGAGCGACGGTGGGGCTGGAGTCCAAGCCGGGTCTGCATGATGCCCGACTGCTGTCCGCCACATGCCTGCCCCCAGATGCCTGGGTTCAGAATGCCCACTCATCCCTTCTGTGCCATCCTCTGAGCACCTCCAGCTCCACTGCCTGTGTCCACTCAGGGGATTGGCATCCGGTCTCTAAGCATGGGCGTCACTGACAGGCAAGGCCCCTGTCCTTCCAGGGACCTCCCGACCCCCTCACCCAATAATTTCTCACTTGGGACCTCTTCTCCCCAGCAGCAGTCACAGGCTAAGGAGCTACGGCTGGAAGGAGGGGCAACGAGAGCATAGGGGACCCCGGGGTTCTCTGCAAACTGCACTGCATGGGGAATCCTAACTGCTTTGCATTTGCCATACATGTGCCCGTGCAGGAAGATCCTTGCGAGCACCCTAAACTGTGGCTCTGTTACCCTGTCTTAGGGGTCAGGGCTGGGGCTCAGAGATGCTGAGCAACCTTCTCAATATTGCACAGAGGACTTCCAACCTGCCGCACATACAGCCTTCGGTTACTCTACTGGGCGGGGTCGTGTACCCCTAAATCCATGTCTGATGCAGAGATGTGACCTTGTTTGGATGTAGGATCATTGCAGATCGGATGAAGGGAGATGAGGTCATGCTGGAGTATGTGGGCCCTTAATCCAACATGACTGGTGTCCTTATAAGAAGAGAAAAGACACAGATGGACACAGAGAGGGAGGATGGCCAAGCGATGACACGGGCAGAGGCCAGAGTGCTGTGTCTACGGCCCGAGGAATGCCAGGGATTGCTGGAAGCTGAGAGGAAGCCCTGGAGCCATCCCTGGAGCCTTCAGAGGGAGCACGGCACTGCTAACACCTTCATTTCCGACTTCTGGTTCTAGAACTGTGAGAGATTGCTGTTGTCTTAAGTCAGCCAGAATGTGGCACCTCATCCTGACAGCCCTAAGAAATGAACACAGCTACTAAGCCCCATTACTTGGGATCTGGGGAGTCCAGACTCTGGTCCGTGGTCAGTCCAGTCTCTCGAGTCAAAGCCTTGAAGGCCCTGGTGGAGGCCAAGGAGGTAGGAGGAACCTGGAATGGCAGCTGAGGACCCACGGGAGGGGGCTCTTCCCCAGATATTTGCAGATGTTCTTTTCTCGAATATCCAGGAGACCTCATCACTCTCAGACTGAGGCTTTGTCCACAGATGGCACAGGGCTCCTCTGAGGCCCCGAAGGACCTGACGAGGTGGACAAGGTGGCCCAGACTCCCAGGCCTGAAGTGGCTCAGAGTCAGAGCTTCCTGGTTGGGGTCTTCAGCCTCTCCCGGCAGATGCTATGATCATGAGACAGAAAAGGGGGGCCAAGAGAACAGGGGAGAAAGGCAGGAGTCAGGAAGGAGACAGAAACAGGAGAGAGAGATGGAGAGATAGGAGAGAGAGACAGAAATGGGCGAAAACAACCAGGAGAGAAGAACAGGGTGGAGATAGAGGTCAGGACAGAGGGCCAGACACCCAGACCAGTCACAGATGTGGACAAGGAGATGGAGGGAGAGACAGAAAGACAGAAGAGTACAAGGCAGGGGGAGGGGCAGGGAGAGGGCAGTGGGGAGCTAGACAAGCGGCAGAGAAAGAGGGGAGACAGGAGGGGGCGGAGGAGGAGGGGCGGAGGATGCCCGAGCCCCGAGTGCCCTCTTGCAGACGGCCTGTGCTCAGCATTCTTGACCGCGTCGTGCCCAGGGCAGGGTGAGCCTTCATCCCCGGCCCTGAGAGTGCAGGGCGGAGGGAGACAGCCACTGGGCCAAAGGCCATGCTAAGCCCCAGCCCCCTGAACAGTGCTTCTGTGCATTCCTGGTGGGGCGACGTGAACTCCCCGCCTGACAGCGGCACATGGTTAATGTTCTCGAGTCCATGGGCCTCGGCCCTCAGTTTTAATTAGGCATTTAACTGGAAGGGGGTGAGGCCTCCCCATTTCCCCTCAGAGCCAGCTGCCAGCTTTATCGTGATCCCCTGCAGGACACTGCAGAGACGGCTCGAATGAAAGAGGATGAGGAGAAGGAGGTGTCAGAATCGTCCAGGCCCCCAGCCCAGCTTTTATGGGGTTGGGAGAAGCATCTCAGCCGGAGAGGCTCCTAGTAGGAGGAGTGGGCTTTACATTGACCAGAATTTAACCCTTCAGAAGCTTCCCTGATTAGTTCTCTGACACCTGGGGGCCCCGAGGGAGTGAGTCATTATGTCAGGGCAGGCTTGGCTGCTTGCAAATGTCAGGAAGCCCAACTCAACCTGAACAAGTTAAAAACAGAAGATTGGCTCAATTACCTGAGAAGTCCAGGAGCAGGTCAACTTCAGGTCTGGCTGGATCCAGGTGTTGCAATTTGATCAGGAAGCTATCCTTCACCCCTTCTCTCATCTCTGAGTCCATCTTGACCCAAAGCATTGGAGTCTTCCTCTCATGCCCATTTTTAATGCACATTCTGGGTATATTACTGAAGACGGGGGTGGGAGTTTTCAGGGTCACTGTAGCTTTCTGTCTCTCCCTTGCCCACTTTCTCCTCCCATTATTCTGGACCTTCTAGAACCAGGAACTGAGACTCCCAACTTCTCCCCTCAGGAGCATCTCTTCTGTTGGCTAGGCCAGTGTTGGGTGAAGCCCCCAACCCCCAGTTATAGTTATTATAATACAGTTATAACGACTTTAACAGTTCTTGTGTACTAAATTTATCATCTGTATTATTTCTTACTATTTTTAAAATATTTGTTTGGTTGCCCACTTAAGATCTAGTTCCCAGACCAGGAATCGAACCCTGGCCCCCTGCATTGGGAGAGGGGAGTCTTAGCCACTGGACCACCAGGGAAGTCCTCTATTTTTGATGGGTTGATTTTTCTTCTCATTTAGGGTTGTAATTCCCAATTCTTTGCGTTGTGGAAGACAGTGAATTAGATGCAGATACTGTGAACCTTGCCTTGTTGGTTGCCAGATAGTTTCATATTCCTGTAAATATGGTGGAGCTTTGTTCTGGACACAATGGAGCTACTCGGAGACTTGATCCATCCAATTTGTGTATGGTCAGAAAGTGACCAATGGCAGTAAATCCTTTGAGCATCTGGGATGTATACAATCTGGGCTAAATTCTGTTTTTTAATGAAGAAGGCAGGCAGCTGACTCATGTTTCCAGAGTACCGTGTGTGTGATTTTCAGGTCAAGAAATGGGTCTGTGATGGGCATCTTATGAACACTGACCGATCTCATGGTGTGAGGGTCACTTCTTCTGTGGTCAGCAGTAAACCCAGTCACAGGCACTTTCCTCCCACCTGCCGTGGTGATAATGCCATAGGAATTTTCTTAACTGTCACTGAGCCAGCACCTATAGCCACCTTTCAGGGCAGCCACCGTGCAGGACACACATGTGAATGTAAGGCATGATTTCTTCCCTGAGAGGCAGGCAGGAGGGCTGGCCTTGGCCGTGGTACAGAATGCTGCCAGTGTCGCCTGACAGGTGCTTTCAAACAGGCCTTGGAGACGGTGAGTTCACATCCGCTCTGAGAACGGTGGGGCCTCTTGTCACTCCGGGGTGGTCCCAGCAGCAGGCGTCGAAAGCACTCATCATACACCTGAGGCATTTCTTCACCCCAAAGCCTGTTGGAATCCCACAGGGACCTCCTTTCCCTAAGCTGGCAGCTTTTCTCATTCGTGACTCCTGACTTAACTCACCCTCCCACCGCCCCACTCGCCCACTGCTCTTGAGACTGTCGTTCTGCTGGTGAGGAAGCAGACTCAGGGTTGGGACCCACCAGCTGGGGCAGGGATGGGATGGAAGTGTGTCTGCCTCCGCCACCCCCCCACCCCGCCCCATCCCCCAGGTCCCATCCTGCCTCTTTTCAAAGTGAGTCACAAGGAAGCCAGCAGCCAGAGGGCCAGGAGAGGTGGAGAGCGCCCGCCCCCACTGCATGTTCATCAGAGGCCGTGTTGTAAAAGATCACTTGGCAAAAGATGAGCAATAAATTAGATTACTCAGAGCACACACGCTGCAATCAAAAGCATTGTCTCAGAGGCAGAGAGCTCGCCTCTCCAAGCTGGGCTCGATCACAGACCAAAAGGCACCGCCATCCGTGGATGGGGGGCTCAGGACCCAAATGGGGCCACCTCCAGGTCCCCACCACCTCCCCAGCACCCTCCTGGGATGGTGGCCCCCCACCCCGGCCTTGCCTCTGAAAGTTGGGGTGGGGAGCCCGCAAGGAGGGGGCCCGGTTCAAACGACACTCTGCCCAGAGACCACAAGTTTATGAATCCCAGAAGTTTCGCTCGCTCAGGTCAGGAGCAGAGCTTGGCTGCAGTTGGAGAAGACATTTTTCTCTGTCAGGCCACAGAACGCAGCACAAAGACGCCAGCTGCGAGGCCTCAGACCCCAAGTCTCTAATTAAAACAGTGGAAAATGAGATAACTTCACAAATTCATCACCGCCGCCACCGGCTGTCAGGGGAAAGGCTTCAGGGGTCGCCCCCACCTCCAGCTTATGTGCCGACGGGGTCTGTCCGCTGGGCCTGCGTGTGAGTGCGTGTGTGCACACGCATGTCCACATTTTCTCTACCTCTTGTCCTAGGCTTTCCGGGTTTTTTTCTTTTCTTTTTCTCTCTTTTTGTGCCCCATCCACAAAATTTAGAGTCTAGTGGTCGACCGAGAAGGGAGAATTTCCTCAAAGGAGGTGTCACCATCCAAGGTGATCTCATGTAACATCTCATTTCATTCAATAACCAAAAGAGATGGTTTCATCAACCCCGTCTTACAGAAACGGAGACTGAGGCTATGTGAGCTTGGTAGCTGATCTAGGTAATGCAGGTGAAGGCTGAGCGGGGCCTGTACCCAACCCTGTCCTACTGAGCAGACCTTGCACCTCAGCCCAACCAGGCCTGACCCTGCATGGACTCTGCCGCCGTTAGGTGCCCAGCCCCACACTGGAATCCCGGGGGCTGTGATGGCTACCATTATTGTGCTTCACCAGCTTGGTCTGCTTTTCCTCATCCAGAAGGGCACAGGTTAGGGGGTATGAATATTCCCATTTAGAGGGAGGGAACTTGAGGCTTAGAGATATGGGCCAGCTCCTAGTTCTTAACCCTTACAGTGCCCAGCACCCAGACCTCTTGGCCTGAAGTCTCCTCTGGTCACTGAAGCCTGTTGCACCCTGCATGTTGGCTGACCCTCAGTGCTGGGTTCTATTGCCCCAGGAGCAGAAACACCTGAGGCAGTGTAACTCTAAGGTGTGACCTTCATGATTCCATAGGGGTTTACAATCTGCAGGGGTGGGGGTGGGTGATAGTCAACGAGTAACCAAGTCGATGTGTGATGTAATGTGAACTGGAGACACATGCGGCGGAGAAGTAGAAAGCAGAGTGTGGACTGCCGAAGACGAGGATGAGCTGGTGTACAAGGGCTGGTCAGGAAAGACCTCTTGGAGGAGGCGTTGCTGACTGGTGTACAGAGCTGATGAAAGTGAGCCAGGGGACCACGAGGAGATTTGGGGGAACCCCTGAGGCACACAGAATAGAAAATGGTAGCTGTTCTCATTATCACTAGCACCATCGGCAGCCTTCATGATATCTATTGTCACCACCACCATCCCCATCATCATGCCTGTTATTATCACCTTCATCAGCATCACCAGTTAGCACTATCACCGCCTCCATCCCCACCATCACTGTCACCACCATCATCACCATCTTCATTCCAGTTCTAATTCATTTGGTCTGGGGTGGGGCACAGTGGCATTTTTTAAACCTTCCTTAGTGGCTCAGATGGTGAGACTGCCTACAGTGCAGGAGACCCCGCTTTGATCCCCGGGTGGGCAAGATCCCCTGGAGGAGGGCATGCAAATCACTCTAGCATTCTTGCCTGGAGAATCCCGTGGACAGGGGAGCCTGGCGGGCTACAGTCCATGGGGTCACAAAGAGTCAGACACCACTGATCAACTAACACTTTCGCTTCCACAGACAATTCTAATGTACAGTCAGGATTGGGAACTACCGCCCCAGGCTGACACACCTTATTGGCAAAATTCCACTTTAAAATTCCATACTCACAAAAGCTCTATAAGGTTGATCTTCTTACCCATCCACTTTACAGACAGGAAGACAGATTTAGAATGGGGCCTTGAGGGAGGCCACAAGCCATCAGTTGTGTGATGTCCATGGGGCACCCACCCTCTTAGCTATGACCCCACAATCCATTGAGTCAACAGCACCTTCAGAGCAGAGTGTATGCCCAGGGAATACCTGTGGGCAGGATAAGGCTTGTTTCCAACCCAGCATCCCTGACTTCCTCCCCAGAACACCTCCCCTTCCCATCCATGCTGCCTTTCAAAGAGGAGAGCCATCCAGGAGAGACCATGAAAGGACAATATCAACACAGCTGCTACCGTGGTTGCTGTTTCTGACATAATTGAGCCCCACTTGGTTCATCACTCTAAGAAGCGTTTCCATATCTATTAATTTGCAGCAAAAGTACAAGAGGACTGCCATTAGTTCCCTGTTTTCTTTGGATGAGTGAACCCAAGGCACAGAAAAATCAAGATGCTTGCCCAGGGTCACACAGCTAGTGAGTAGTTGGAGCCAAGGTAATGTATAAACATGGACGTACGGGGACCCCCAACTCCACCTCCTCCACCCTTCCCCTCACCCCCACTTTCGAGGGGAATCAGCCTGGACACCAAGGCTCCAGGTCTGAGCAGTGAGGGGTGTAGCAAGCGCCTCTCTGAGCCTCAGCTTTCTGGTCCGTACGTGGGGGAAGACCTCAAGTGCTCTGCTTTGCTTCTAACACAGCTACGTGGGAACTTGAGGCTTAGAAATATGGGCCAGCTCCTAGTTCTTAACCCTTACAGTGCCCAGCACCCAGACCTCTTGGCCTGAAGTCTCCTCTGGTCACTGAAGCCTGTTGCACCCTGCATGTTGGCTGACTCTCAGTGCTGGGTTCTATTGCCCCAGGAGCAGAAACACCTGAGGCAGTGTAACTCTGAGGTGTGACCTTCATGATTCCATAGGGGTTTACAATCTGCAGGGGTGGGGGTGGGTGATAGTCAACGAGTAACCAAGTCGATGTGTGATGTAATGTGAACTGGAGACACATGCGGCGGAGAAGTAGAAAGCAGAGTGTGGACTGCCGAAGACGAGGATGAGCTGGTGTACAAGGGCTGGTCAGGAAAGACCTCTTGGAGGAGGCGTTGCTGACTGGTGTACAGAGTTGATGAAAGTGAGCCAGGGGACCACGAGGAGATTTGGGGGAACCCCTGAGGCACACAGAATAGAAAATGGTAGCTGTTCTCATTATCACTAGCACCATCGGCAGCCTTCATGGTATCTATTGTCACCACCACCATCCCCATCATCATGCCTGTTATTATCACCTTCATCAGCATCACCAGTTAGCACTATCACCGCCTCCATCCCCACCATCACTGTCACCACCATCATCACCATCTTCATTCCAGTTCTAATTCATTTGGTCTGGGGTGGGGCACAGTGGCATTTTTTAAACCTTCCTTAGTGGCTCAGATGGTGAGACTGCCTACAGTGCAGGAGACCCCGCTTCGATACCCGGGTGGGCAAGATCCCCTGGAGGAGGGCATGCAAATCACTCTAGCATTCTTGCCTGGAGAATCCCGTGGACAGGGGAGCCTGGCGGGCTACAGTCCATGGGGTCACAAAGAGTCAGACACGACTGATCAACTAACACTTTCGCTTCCACAGACAATTCTAATGTACAGTCAGGATTGGGAACTACCGCCCCAGGCTGACACACCTTATTGGCAAAATTCCACTTTAAAATTCCATACTCACAAAAGCTCTATAAGGTTGATCTTCTTACCCATCCACTTTACAGACAGGAAGACAGATTTAGAATGGGGCCTTGAGGGAGGCCACAAGCCATCAGTTGTGTGATGTCCATGGGGCACCCACCCTCTTAGCTATGACCCCACAATCCATTGAGTCAACAGCACCTTCAGAGCAGAGTGTATGCCCAGGGAATACCTGTGGGCAGGATAAGGCTTGTTTCCAACCCAGCATCCCTGACTTCCTCCCCAGAACACCTCCCCTTCCCATCCATGCTGCCTTTCAAAGAGGAGAGCCATCCAGGAGAGACCATGAAGGGACAATATCAACACAGCTGCTACCGTGGTTGCTGTTTCTGACATAATTGAGCCCCACTTGGTTCATCACTCTAAGAAGCGTTTCCGTATCTATTAATTTGCAGCAAACGTACAAGAGGACTGCCAATTAGTTCCCTGTTTTCTTTGGATGAGTGAACCCAAGGCACAGAAAAATCAAGATGCTTGCCCAGGGTCACACAGCTAGTGAGTAGCTGGAGCCAAGGTAATGTATAAACATGGGCGTACGGGGACCCCCAACTCCACCTCCTCCACCCTTCCCCTCACCCCCACTTTCGAGGGAAATCAGCCTGGACACCAAGGCTCCAGGTCTGAGCAGTGAGGAGTGTAGCAAGCGCCTCTCTGAGCCTCAGCTTTCTGGTCCGTACGTGGGGGAAGACCTCAAGTGCTCTGCTTTGCTTCTAACACAGCTACGGAGCGGCGCGGCCACATTCCGTGAACGCCCGCGCGCCCTGCCGCTCTCACCCTCTATCTTCTTGTCGTGTACGTGAACATGGCCTTCTCGGCCCCTCAGCACCCCACTTCCTGCTGGAGGAGGCCCAAGAACAGCCGTTTGGTCTTCAAGGGCCCCCCGGGTTCAGGTCTGAGCACAGACTGGGGGGTGGGGGCGTCCCGTGCGCCCACCTGCTTGCTCATCTCATGGCCGCCGCTCGCCGCCAGGCTGGATGGCAGGATGGGCCGAGTGGGTAGGCCCAGAGGCCAGCGCAAGAGCGGGCTGGGGGCGGAGGCTGGCGATGGGACTGGGACAGGCCTGGAACCAGAACTGCGGTGGGGACACTCATCGAAGATGCACACGTTGGAGCCCAGCGTGGCCGGGGCGGCGGGGAGCTGTGTTAGCAAAGCTCCCCGGGCACTCTTGTCACCAGCAGATCTGAGACCCATGAACTGAATGTCTGTTTGTTCATCCAACAAGCATTGATTGGGCCTGCTCTGCTTGTGGAGGGCCCAGAGTTCTCGCTGGTTAAGGGGCAGCTCTGGAGCTGTGGAGTCTGGGACCACGTCTGGCCTCTCATGCTCTGGAAGGGTCATTTCATCTCTGTGGCTTGTCCATCAGTAACAGTGACGGTGGCTACAGGTATCAACGCTTCTTCACTGCAGGCAGGTATGCTGCTGGGCTGGTAAATGTTCAACAGCCAGCTCTCTGAGGGGGGAATAAATCCCAATTTGCGGCATCTGCCGAATGCCATGGTGTAAATGCTTTCATTGTGGCTGATTCCCAGCTCACATTGAACATGGACAGAGTCAAGAATGCTCACTGTTCACTTAGTGATTCAGGGAACATAAAGAGCCTAAGAGCAGAGATAATAGTAAAAATACAGTAAAGTAATTAGGAAGTGGTGTGTTTGAAGTGTTAGTTTTGTTTGTCTTTATGTTTACCTATTTGGCTGTGCTGGGTCTCAGTTGCAGTATGTGGGATCTAGTTCCCCGACCAGGAATCAAACGTGGGCCCCCTGGGTTGGGATTGAGCGATCTTAGCCACTGACCACTAGGGAGGTTCTAGTTTTGAGTATTTATTACCTTTGTTTTTAATTTAGTTTACTTAGTTTCAAGTGTCCAGAATTTAATTTTTAGTAATGGCCAGCTTTCAGATTTTATTAAAATTTAATAGTTAGTGCTTGCAATCTGGTCTCAACCTTCCATTGGGTAGTGGCTGTGATTATCCCCATCTTACAGGTAAGAAGCCTGAGTACAGAGAGGCTGAGTGACTTGCTCAGGGTCCAAACCCATTAGTTTGGCTTCCGAGTCCCATCACTGGGGATAATAACCACACCTACCTCCTAGGGTTAACATTAAGGATGCATGCATATGATGCATTTAGTACATGCTCAGTCAACGCTGGTTGCTGTTGTTCCTGTTACTACAGGTTGGTGATCCAAGTATATCAAACACAATTTCTTTCCTTGATAAACTTACCATACAGGGTGGTGAGACGCATACCCGCAAAGTATAACAGAAGCTTCCGCAGCACATACACTGCATGGGCCCAACAGAAGAGTTGATAAGTTCTCTTTATGGGGCCAGGGGGACTTCATGGTGGAAGGGATATTTAAGTTGGGTTTTGAAGGATGAGTAGGAGTTCACCAAGCAGTTTAATGAGTGACGTGGATAAACCAAGTCACCTGTTTGGCCAGAGGAGTCTTATCTCCTTTTACTGCCCCATTGGCCTGACCTGTCTCACCAGGAAAGCTGGTGCAGATTTCATTACTATGTGGAGGCTCAATGATTTATCTGGAGAAGTGAGTCCCTCACACCCTCAGGTCTAACCTTGGCTGAGCTTGCCAGGCTGCATCTCCCAAGGAGGCTTCCGGGTTGAGAGAGTGAGCCTGGTGGTTACGAGTGATGAAATCTCTGGGTCTGAATGCTGCCACAGTGGGTAATCTTGACCTGTCTCAGTTTCCCCATCATAAGGGGGAGCCATGACCACTCTGACCTTGCGAGGCTATACACTTAAAACTGCAGAGCACGTGAAAGTGCTCCCAACCAGCCGGCCTCAGGGTGCGGAGCTGGCAACAGTAACGGTCCACACGAACCACAGCTGCAGAGGCTGTCGGGCGTGGAGCCTGGTGAGCTGGGTGGCGCATGTGGGAGAAGGTAAACACCCAGGAGCCACACAGCCCACCCAAACCCAGCCCTGCAGCCCCCTGCCAGCTCGGCGTGGGCGTCAGGAAGCTGGTAGCTGGGTCAAAGCAGGCTGTCACCGTGCCCTGTCCCACGAGGTAAAAACATTACGGGTGATGCTGCCCCGCGGTGGCCCCACCTCGCAGCCCTTCCTTTGAACTCTGACGGCAGCTTCACATGTGCCTGTGGCTGCCAAGCCAGCGTGTCTGATGTCCTTTCCGGCTTTTGTAATGTCACTTCCCGCCGGGGACGGGGTGATGCCTTATTGATGTAGGAGAGTCACCGTTTGGCATAAAATTCCCGACATATAGAACACCAGCGTGAATGGACCTTCTGGTTTGAACGTGAGCAGTTCAGCTTCTTGAACTTTTTCATCTCG